GTCTGTCTCTGTGTTTCCCTGCGACAGACTGGCGACCTGTCCAGGGTGTACCCTGCCTCTCGCCCGAAACGTTCGCTGGAGATAGGCACCAGCAAACCTTCTGACCCCACTAGGGACAAGGGTGTAAAGAAGATGGATGGATGGACAGAAATGGAGGTTTCCATAGGAAAAGAGTTAAAATATAAATCAAAACTACCAAGATTTAACACTTTCCTTTAAGACACAAATCTTTACTTATTGTCTGTGCTACATACATGATCACAGTACACCATAGCAATGAAATATGTCACAGAATCCCACTGAAATCAGCTTAGGGACTTCTTTTTGTCTAAATATAATTTGATTCAAAATCATTTAATTTATGGTGGAGAAAGAAGACAACATTGTTGCTGTGAGGAAAGCAGCTGGCTGAAAATGAGAAAGATGTTGATTATTTTTTGATCTTAGTTGAACTGAAATCAGAGAAAATTGTGTTTTCTCCTCCCAGGTTGGATGCATTCAGGCTATCCTGTCATGATGCACTCATCTATAGGAGCTGAGCTGTTCAACCCACAAGATGCCCGGACCAAAGGTCTGTGGGGAGAAATTCATGAACTGGGGCACAACCAGCAGAGAAGCCCCTGGGAGTTTCCACCACACACTGGAGAGGCCACATGCAACCTGTGGTCAGTGTATGTGCATGAGGAGGTGCTGGGACTCAACAGAGCAAAGGTGACTTATCTTTTAGTTTGTTGAGTATTGAGTTTTATCCATTTATGACTATTTTTGCCTCAACTAATCACATCTCCCACATCACAGAGAAAAAGCAAGAACAGCAGTTCAGGAATTATGAACAGTAACTTTTTGTTGTTGAACCACAAATATTCTTCACATCATACATCAGCCTGTATATATTGAGCACTTTAGCAGATCAGACTTGTACTGTGAAGATGGAGACATTTATATGTTTGTTTCATTGACATATTATCAGATTGACATCACATAATTTTATGGAAAAGCCTCACAAAGTCATCTACTGTAGCGACAAGTAAGAGGGAAGACTTTAAGATATTTATGTTGCAAGTCTAGAATTGCCTTTAGACTCTCTGTACATGTTGCAACAAACATGAATCTGGTAACGGTCAGATGATGTTTATCTAAGTCACAGAGTGAACTTTTGCTACCTTTATCTAAAATTAAGTCATTGTCTTTAATCCAGGCTCATCCCTCCGTAACTGCAGCCAGTCGGAGGCGCTCTGTAGAGGAATACGTGAAAGGAGGCAAGAATCTCAGCGACTGGAACGTTTGGACTGCCCTGGAGACATACCTGCAGGTTAGAGAAAAAACAAATAAAAGTAATTTAAAGGAAAATCTGTAAAGGATTGATCGAACGTTAGTCTTCCAGTAGGTTAATTGATAGTTGTAGTAACAGATGAATGACTGAATGAATGATGCATTGTGGATTCAAGACAACAATTTTCAGCCTACTGTTTATTCACAGAGGACACGTTATTGAACTTTTATGAACACAATCAATGGTATGAGTGTTGACATACAATAAAAAGTCCTTTTGAAATAAAAAGACAGAACAGTCACTGTGTTTATATCTGAGGTCACATCTGCATAAGCCTGTTTTCTTCTTTGTAGCTCCAGGAAAAGTTTGGCTGGGATGCCTTTAAAAAGGTGTTTGCTGCCTACCATGACATGACCAACCATCCCAATGACAAAGAAGTGAAGATGAACCTCTATGCTGAGACTTTCTCCAGAGCTGTGAACATGAACCTGACTGGATTCTTCAAAGCCTGGGGATGGCCCATCCAAAGAGCCACAGAGGAGAAACTCTCCGACCTGCCTCTCTGGACCGATCACCCAATGGCCTAACATGATGGCCTATAACTAAAACTACCACTGGGGCAAGTTTAAACTGTAACCTGGTTTTATTGATATTGATAGCGGTAGTTTGTCTTTTCTTTCCAATGTAATGCTAGAAAAACTGAATGATTACTGAAAATAATCATGATTATCAAGAAATAATTTTTGGGGTGACTGATTTTAAAGACAACATTATGTGAAAAGGTTGGCCAATGGCTCATAAAAAACAGCATAATTCATATCCCACCATTAAATCATAAGTTACCTGAAACATTAATTTATAATAAAATTAAACTTATCATCGTGGTATCTAGTGACTCTAAAACAATTTCTGTCTCGAGTATTTTTTAGTTAAGTGAAACTTGTTTTATTTCAGCAAAGTGAATAAAAAGTAAATCTCTACAATACTGGGGCAATATTTAGAATTTCTTTCTTTAACAGATGAACAGCATGGGTGATATGTAAGGAAACAGGGGAAAAAAATCACTGTTTATTATCCTTTTGGTGTACTCATATATTGCAATATTAATTTCTTTAAGTAATCACTCTTCTCTCTGTCAGTACATTTAAACACTCAGTTCCTTCATGTTTTCTGGTTCTGACTTGTAATGTTTTAATGGTTGTTTGTCACAACTGTACTGCTAACCACAATAAAGTTTCCTTTTCTATTTTCTACTTGACTGTCTTGCTGTCAAGGTATTGTCTTAAGACATTGCAAAGATTGGTATTGCATTTTATTGTGTGGCTCTAAATTTTAACTAAAGAATGAAAAGAAAAAATCTAATGAAATGCCATCTGAAAATGTAAGGGATGAAACTATTGAAACTATTGAGCCCAATTAGAATTAATGTATCTACAGTACCTAAAGCACATTTAACAAATGGACTGATCTCCTTCAGGTGTGATTATGATGAACATTTGGAATGACCAGTATTGAGTTGGAAGTTTCTATGAAATCTTTGGCCTGTGTGTAACCTGTGTATGTCAAGTCAGCAACAAAGTACGGTGGCCGACAGGTGCAAATGCGCAGCAACAGATAAAACATGCAAACAAAAACGGAGACGCAAACAAATGAAATCCAGCAAACAAGAAGAGATGACGCAAACAAAAAGCAAATCAAATGCAGCAAACAAAAAAAAGAGACGCAAACAAAAAGCAAATGAAGCAAACAAAAAAAAGAGACTCAAACAAAAGTCCCTCCTGCTTTGCTCGACCAAAACAGCAGAAGATGCTTCATCAGCACTGCGGGATATTGAATAAATAAATAAATTACTTTAGTGAACCAAAAATATTTACAGCTTTTACCAGACTTAATATCTGTGTTTCACCTCCACTCATAGGGGAAAACTATTGGGAGTTTTTAAAACGATTTGCCGGGAGACATGGGTTCTCTCTCGGTATACCGAACCTGGAGCGCCCAAATGTCGGTCTGACATATGGGCCTCAAGGTAGGTCATCTTTTATTATTATTATTTTTAATCAGGCCGGTATACAGATATGATACTGGATTGATAGTGTACACAGCGACTGCTGTCCCACAGGCCATGTCCGGTTTACTGTTTTGAAGCAGTACATGTCGTAATGACTGAGACCACCAGGTGGCGCGGCCATTCCTGCCTTGATTTCTACTATGTTGCTGTTAGAAACTAAGTAAATGCTGCTGGATCAAAACCGCATTGTCTCGATCTTCTCTTATAAGTTACAACAAACATAAATTCAAGCTATGGCAATACTAGAGCAGCATGAAGTCACCACATGGATCTACTGGTGGCCTTCCTCTCTTTTTTTTTTTTTTTTTTCTAAAGATGTACCCAGGAGTAAAACATCAATGCTTTTGGTCAGTGGTGTTTAAGAAATGGAAAGTAGAAAAAGCGAGAGTTGCATGGAGAAAAAAAAGAGGGAAGCTCTGAAATGTGAAAAAATTAGCAACTTTTTCATAAAACGAGCTTGCGGCTAGAAACGTCAAATGAGGACAATGAAATGTGCGAGGCAAACAACTGCTCAAGTCAACTAAAGAAAGTTGTTTCTGCAAAACTACTCTGATGTTGAGGAAACAGTGTATAATGCAGATTTGAGTTACTGCCACAAGTTTTGACTGTACAAAACAGTGTTTTCTGCTTTACTGGTGCCCATAGATTGTTTTTATCAGTCAGTATTTTGAAAGATATTGCTATATTTTATATTCAACATTGTGCTACAAAACAAGTAAACTAAATAGTTGTAAGTCCTACAGCTAAATAAATATTTTGTGGCCCACCTGGGGTATTCCCACTTTCTTCAAGATGTCAGTCAGAAGGGACAGAATCTGCCTGTAGCAGAAGCTGCCATAATCCTGTATCCTCAAGAAGGAAGCACAATTTGTTCCCAGATTTTTAAGGCGCTCTTCGTCTTGCTTGGTGAGTTCTCCATCCTCTGGAACATGAAATGCCATCAACATGTATGTTGAGGGGTGAGCTCACTGTTTGTCATGATCTCAAGTTTTTTTAGTGAATATAAAAATTGTCAGCCTTATTTTTGTTACAGATGTGCCTCATTTACAGACTGTTTTCATTCTATGGATGCATATTCTACACTCTTGTTTTTGAATTCAGTTTTTCTTATTTTCAATGTGAGATGTGAAAATATTTTGAGAGCCTGAACTTGTGCTGAACCTGAATTTTCAGTCTAATATGAGCAGCAATTTCTTAATGTCCATATTAATACATTATAGCCTGCTGTATTTCTTCGTTAAAGGGGTGTCAGAAGGTGAAAACAATTATGTTAGCTGTAAAATCTATTTTTTTGTAATTTTGACAGAAGAATTAGAGCTTCTTTTTCTCCTGTTTTACTGTAATTAATTTGCTTTGTGCAAACATGTTTTTTGCACAAAGCAAAAAAAAAAAAAAAAAAATGGAAAAAAAATGTTGCTAAGTTTTGTTAAATGTTTGATAATATATATGATTCAGAGGATTATTTGAATAAAACACTGACATTAACTCAAATAGAGATGTAAAGGTGCAGTCTGGACGCCTTTCCACTGGAGTTATTGAGGGAAGAGTCAACCTATGGAAATGTTTTATGACATGTCTGTGGCTTGGCATCCAAAGCTAAATGAACATGAACAGACAGGCCTGGAAGAAAAAATACAGACGAAGAAGCAGAAACGTGCGTTTCTACATGACCTCTATGTTCTGAGACTCCACCTGAGAAACAGAACATGCTTTAATTAAAAAAAAAAAACAAAAAAACTGAAATATCTGTGGCTCTACAAGCCTCAGTTACACACGCATAAAAAAGAGTTTCGCTGATTAACTTTTGCATTATTTGTTCCATAATGACCCTTGTAAAGCAAAGGCATATTAAATTTTAATTTTAAAAGTCAATTTAAAGCGTCAAGAGCAACAAAAATGCAACACAGGAAATGAAATAAGACAACTGAGCAGGAGCACAACTTTTTCTTCCTTCTTTGATATCCATTTATTTAATTTTCCTTTGAGATAAAGTGTTTTTGAATTTAACTGATATAAGCTCGTATTCGCCCTGCAGCAGGGATTGAGATAGCAGAGATGGTAGAAAAGAAGTTCCCTGCTTCAAAGGTTCAAAAGTGTTTTTGTTGTTATATTGATTTTTGCCATGTACCAGCTTTTTGGATACTGTAAATGGACCCCAAAATTAAGTTCTTCCAGCAATGATTAACATGTAATATTGCAATAAGTAAAACAATATAATTCATAGAAAAAATCATCCTAATATAATTTGTGTGGAACATGAATACAAAATCTATCTATATAACCTATGAGCACATTGGTCTTCCATTTGTTGTTTTTTTTTTTTTTTTCTGAGATACAATTATCCCTTGATGCCCCTTTCATAAGATCTTTGTTGCTACAGAAACAACTCCTGAAATCCGTTGCCCAGGTGTGATGGGTGCAAATAATTTAAAGTAACATTTCCCACGTTTTTATATTCTGCTCTCCTCTTCCCTAGAATGCCATATTAGTAGGTAAAAAGTGCATGCAATATATATCCTTCTCTTTTTAATGTTATACATAAAGGTGAAAATGCAGGAAAAACATAACGACTTGTAGCTAATTTACCCCAAACTAAAGTTCGTCTAACTAAACTGGTCCTCATAACCACGTCAGTGCTCAGTAACAATCAGCTCTTTGCCATTCAGACCATTGGATGATCAGTCCAAGCAGGCAGGCTGGATAGTTTCTCCTCAGTGGCCTGTTCGATAGGCCATCCCCAGGCTTTAAAGAATCCAGTCAGGTTCATGCTCACAGTCTGGGAGAATGTCTCTGCATACAGGTTCATCTTTCCTTTGTTCTCTTTGGGAAAGTTGTTCATCTTGTGGTAGGCAGCAAACACTTTCTTAAAGGCATCCCAGCCAAACTTCTCCTGGAGCTACAAGAACAAACAGAGGCCTTCACTGAGCCATTTAAAAAGATTGAAGCATATGAAATGGGTTGAGGATTATTTTTATTAGGTTAAAACTCTTTTTTTTTTTAACATTCTCTTACCTGCATGTATGTCTCCAGGGCCACCCACATGCTCCAGCCGCTGAGCTGCTTGCCCCCTTGTATATAGTCCTTCATTCGTTTATTTCGGTTTTCCAAAGTCATCGCTCCNTGAAACTATTGAGCCCAATTAGAATTAATGTATCTACAGTACCTAAAGCACATTTAACAAATGGACTGATCTCCTTCAGGTGTGATTATGATGAACATTTGGAATGACCAGTATTGAGTTGGAAGTTTCTATGAAATCTTTGGCCTGTGTGTAACCTGTGTATGTCAAGTCAGCAACAAAGTACGGTGGCCGACAGGTGCAAATGCGCAGCAACAGATAAAACATGCAAACAAAAACGGAGACGCAAACAAATGAAATCCAGCAAACAAGAAGAGATGACGCAAACAAAAAGCAAATCAAATGCAGCAAACAAAAAAAAGAGACGCAAACAAAAAGCAAATGAAGCAAACAAAAAAAAGAGACTCAAACAAAAGTCCCTCCTGCTTTGCTCGACCAAAACAGCAGAAGATGCTTCATCAGCACTGCGGGATATTGAATAAATAAATAAATTACTTTAGTGAACCAAAAATATTTACAGCTTTTACCAGACTTAATATCTGTGTTTCACCTCCACTCATAGGGGAAAACTATTGGGAGTTTTTAAAACGATTTGCCGGGAGACATGGGTTCTCTCTCGGTATACCGAACCTGGAGCGCCCAAATGTCGGTCTGACATATGGGCCTCAAGGTAGGTCATCTTTTATTATTATTATTTTTAATCAGGCCGGTATACAGATATGATACTGGATTGATAGTGTACACAGCGACTGCTGTCCCACAGGCCATGTCCGGTTTACTGTTTTGAAGCAGTACATGTCGTAATGACTGAGACCACCAGGTGGCGCGGCCATTCCTGCCTTGATTTCTACTATGTTGCTGTTAGAAACTAAGTAAATGCTGCTGGATCAAAACCGCATTGTCTCGATCTTCTCTTATAAGTTACAACAAACATAAATTCAAGCTATGGCAATACTAGAGCAGCATGAAGTCACCACATGGATCTACTGGTGGCCTTCCTCTCTTTTTTTTTTTTTTTTTTTTTTAAAGATGTACCCAGGAGTAAAACATCAATGCTTTTGGTCAGTGGTGTTTAAGAAATGGAAAGTAGAAAAAGCGAGAGTTGCATGGAGAAAAAAAAGAGGGAAGCTCTGAAATGTGAAAAAATTAGCAACTTTTTCATAAAACGAGCTTGCGGCTAGAAACGTCAAATGAGGACAATGAAATGTGCGAGGCAAACAACTGCTCAAGTCAACTAAAGAAAGTTGTTTCTGCAAAACTACTCTGATGTTGAGGAAACAGTGTATAATGCAGATTTGAGTTACTGCCACAAGTTTTGACTGTACAAAACAGTGTTTTCTGCTTTACTGGTGCCCATAGATTGTTTTTATCAGTCAGTATTTTGAAAGATATTGCTATATTTTATATTCAACATTGTGCTACAAAACAAGTAAACTAAATAGTTGTAAGTCCTACAGCTAAATAAATATTTTGTGGCCCACCTGGGGTATTCCCACTTTCTTCAAGATGTCAGTCAGAAGGGACAGAATCTGCCTGTAGCAGAAGCTGCCATAATCCTGTATCCTCAAGAAGGAAGCACAATTTGTTCCCAGATTTTTAAGGCGCTCTTCGTCTTGCTTGGTGAGTTCTCCATCCTCTGGAACATGAAATGCCATCAACATGTATGTTGAGGGGTGAGCTCACTGTTTGTCATGATCTCAAGTTTTTTTAGTGAATATAAAAATTGTCAGCCTTATTTTTGTTACAGATGTGCCTCATTTACAGACTGTTTTCATTCTATGGATGCATATTCTACACTCTTGTTTTTGAATTCAGTTTTTCTTATTTTCAATGTGAGATGTGAAAATATTTTGAGAGCCTGAACTTGTGCTGAACCTGAATTTTCAGTCTAATATGAGCAGCAATTTCTTAATGTCCATATTAATACATTATAGCCTGCTGTATTTCTTCGTTAAAGGGGTGTCAGAAGGTGAAAACAATTATGTTAGCTGTAAAATCTATTTTTTTGTAATTTTGACAGAAGAATTAGAGCTTCTTTTTCTCCTGTTTTACTGTAATTAATTTGCTTTGTGCAAACATGTTTTTTGCACAAAGCAAAAAAAAAAAAAAAAAAATGGAAAAAAAATGTTGCTAAGTTTTGTTAAATGTTTGATAATATATATGATTCAGAGGATTATTTGAATAAAACACTGACATTAACTCAAATAGAGATGTAAAGGTGCAGTCTGGACGCCTTTCCACTGGAGTTATTGAGGGAAGAGTCAACCTATGGAAATGTTTTATGACATGTCTGTGGCTTGGCATCCAAAGCTAAATGAACATGAACAGACAGGCCTGGAAGAAAAAATACAGACGAAGAAGCAGAAACGTGCGTTTCTACATGACCTCTATGTTCTGAGACTCCACCTGAGAAACAGAACATGCTTTAATTAAAAAAAAAAAACAAAAAAACTGAAATATCTGTGGCTCTACAAGCCTCAGTTACACACGCATAAAAAAGAGTTTCGCTGATTAACTTTTGCATTATTTGTTCCATAATGACCCTTGTAAAGCAAAGGCATATTAAATTTTAATTTTAAAAGTCAATTTAAAGCGTCAAGAGCAACAAAAATGCAACACAGGAAATGAAATAAGACAACTGAGCAGGAGCACAACTTTTTCTTCCTTCTTTGATATCCATTTATTTAATTTTCCTTTGAGATAAAGTGTTTTTGAATTTAACTGATATAAGCTCGTATTCGCCCTGCAGCAGGGATTGAGATAGCAGAGATGGTAGAAAAGAAGTTCCCTGCTTCAAAGGTTCAAAAGTGTTTTTGTTGTTATATTGATTTTTGCCATGTACCAGCTTTTTGGATACTGTAAATGGACCCCAAAATTAAGTTCTTCCAGCAATGATTAACATGTAATATTGCAATAAGTAAAACAATATAATTCATAGAAAAAATCATCCTAATATAATTTGTGTGGAACATGAATACAAAATCTATCTATATAACCTATGAGCACATTGGTCTTCCATTTGTTGTTTTTTTTTTTTTTTTCTGAGATACAATTATCCCTTGATGCCCCTTTCATAAGATCTTTGTTGCTACAGAAACAACTCCTGAAATCCGTTGCCCAGGTGTGATGGGTGCAAATAATTTAAAGTAACATTTCCCACGTTTTTATATTCTGCTCTCCTCTTCCCTAGAATGCCATATTAGTAGGTAAAAAGTGCATGCAATATATATCCTTCTCTTTTTAATGTTATACATAAAGGTGAAAATGCAGGAAAATCATCACGACTTGTAGCTAATTTACCCCAAACTAAAGTTCGTCTAACTAAACTGGTCCTCATAACCACGTCAGTGCTCAGTAACAATCAGCTCTTTGCCATTCAGACCATTGGATGATCAGTCCAAGCAGGCAGGCTGGATAGTTTCTCCTCAGTGGCCTGTTCGATAGGCCATCCCCAGGCTTTAAAGAATCCAGTCAGGTTCATGCTCACAGTCTGGGAGAATGTCTCTGCATACAGGTTCATCTTTCCTTTGTTCTCTTTGGGAAAGTTGTTCATCTTGTGGTAGGCAGCAAACACTTTCTTAAAGGCATCCCAGCCAAACTTCTCCTGGAGCTACAAGAACAAACAGAGGCCTTCACTGAGCCATTTAAAAAGATTGAAGCATATGAAATGGGTTGAGGATTATTTTTATTAGGTTAAAACACTTTTTTTTTTAACATTCTCTTACCTGCATGTATGTCTCCAGGGCCACCCACATGCTCCAGCCGCTGAGCTGCTTGCCCCCTTGTATATAGTCCTTCATTCGTTTATTTCGGTTTTCCAAAGTCATCGCTCCATGAGCCTGCAACAACCACAGTAAAACGAACTGTGTAGCAGAACTTTGTAGTTTAAATATTAAAATAGGAGATGTTTACGAAATTTGCTTCACAAAAAAAAAAAAAAAAACTATTTTAGGCATTGTTTTCCTTTACCTTGTCCCGTTTGATCCCAAACACCACTTCATGCACGTACACTGACCACAGGTTGCATGTGCACTCTGTGGTGTGTGGAGGGAACTCCCAGCAGCCTCGCTGTTGGTTGTGTCCGAGCTCATGGATGGCACCCCAAATGCCTTTGGTCTTCACATGGTTAACATCCACCAACCCAGCTGCAGAACCCCTGTGTGCCATTATAGGATAACCTGCATGCATAAAACCTGAGCAAAGAAACAATAAAATCCTGGTAAAAGCATGGAGGACGACAGCACTGTTTGGGAGACTCATCAGGATAAAAAATTAAGTGTAAAAGATAAAAATATCAACCGTGAGAAATTTGAACGTCTGCCACAAAACGCTCTTTCCGTGGAAATTTGTGGGGTTTGGCAGCCAGGTCAGCGATGGCCTTCATGATGTCATTCCAGAGGATCGCCAACTTATCGGGGTGATCGAGACGTCTGACGACATCAGAGGGTACGGTGAGGATGATGTTGTCAAACTCCAACTCCGCCCAAGGTGAAGGGGCCGTACACAACAACGACCATTCAGCTTGAGTCGTAACACCTGAAAAGAAAATAACAAAAAGGTCCATTAAAACAAAGGGATGAAGTAACATACTGGCATTCAATTTAACAAAGTTGTCTCAGAAGAAGGAGCCGTTATTGATATCATATCCAAGTTGAGGAGCTTTCTACTTGCAAATCAGAAAAATACCGTCATTTTCCTTTTGCTTTGGTGCCATCTCATGTTAGCAGTAGGAGCTGATTTTGTATATCCGTTTTATGTGTTCAAACACCAAATGAACATTTGTGTTACAGCAGCAATATTGGGTATAAAACCTGGGGCTGCTTGACTTATGCCATTGTTCCCAGCTGAAATTCCAGCTGAGGGGAGCAATCTTATTGAATCACAACAGGGAACCTGGGAAATGTGACTGCTAAGTACAAAGAAACTCAGCAGAAACACATCAAATGCACTACCACATGGGGAGTGTAGTCTGGAACAGAAGACAATGACTGCCGATGATTAATAGGTTTTTGTTGTTGACCAGAAAAAGTTAAACAAT